AAAGGAACACGCGTCTGTCATGTCAGCCTTCCACGTTTACCAACATTTTAGTTCAAAATCGATAAATTTAAAATGACTGTTCCAGAACACAGTTTGCCACACCCGAGTTACAAATGACAATAGGATTGTTCGAATTTGAGGGTATTACAAACGCAGAAGTTCAAAATTTCAATAGACCTATAAATTTGCATGCAGAAATGCTGGGTTAATTTGTAAAATATAGCTGACTGTCCAATTTGGTACTTTCGCATAGCCTCGCTTGACTAATTACACAGTTATGCAGGGCGACGCACTTGAGAGCATTTACTGTAGCTTTCTCCGTTATGTAATATTTACAATTGGAATTCTCGAAGGCCAAGTAGAACTTGTAGTTTTCGGAAAGCCATTGAAATAAATCACGACCAGGTGGAAACTGCTTGCCTTGCCGTCCGTATATGTCCACCTGCAATTAAAAGTGTGAATTCGTAATTACCACACCAGTTACGTTCGTCGTTTTAACTCACCAACACACGATGAAGGGTGAATGTGTTACTTCGGTGCATGTACGCAGACGAACAAACGCATCACTCCACATTTCCCGTGTTGCTAAATTATTTTCAACCTTTTGAATTAACGGTTGTTATGATGATATGAGGTAGTTGGCGCAATTAGACAATTTTGCAAAAGGACGAGTCAGTGCGTCACGAGCACTGCATTAAAAGATAACATGGATAATGCAGCTTACCGGAATGAATTTCGCAATCGCCTTTGCGTACTCCTTTCTGTTGTTTCGTGGCGAATGATTGGAGACCACCCAGGCAATTAATTTTGTTCTCTGCTTGTGATAGTGAGGCAGCAGGTAAGTGTTGTCTTTTGCCAACATCGCCGATTTCTCTTCGTCAGTGAATTTCAATTTGGGTTTTGTGTTGCGGACGAAGTGGGGATACATGTAGGGTACAAGTGAAGCCGCCATGTACGTGTTAAACATGTCGATATTTAAAATAAGAATACATGCATACTTGTGTGTTTGCTTGGCAACGCGCAAGAGCACCATGGGTTAGATCAAAAACTCCTATTTAAATGCAAATTTTCGAAAAAAATAAATCGCCGTGAGAACAGACGATTATAACTTGCGGATTTTGCATTAACTTACGTTTTATAATCCCCAAGATTGTTCATGAAAAATGCGTAACTCAGCTAGGTTATGCAGTGTACTAACTATTTAATCAGTGTGTAATTAAGTTGACTGGTGTGAATGAAATGAAGACAAACGGAAAATGTATCGTCTTTTTCTGATTTGCAATGAGTAAGCAGTTGGAAATACGGTGGTTTATGTGGGCTAACATGATGTACAAATGATAATTCGGCTGCAAATACAGGTAGTGCACTTATTCCACCAGCCAAATGATGCACCACAGCTGAGATTTGAAGACAGTGTAAACTGAATACGATATGCACTACATATAGAGGGTGTGCATATCTGATTGAGATGCTATCATGGTACCTTCTTTCTGAAATCGTTGTCGTAAGTAAACTTGTAGAACAAAGTGGTCAAATGCTGTTGATAGCATATATTGCTCAACTCGAATGTACTTTTGTCCATTGGCCTTTTTCAAGGAGCAACATATCGTAAATAAGGCAGTTTCATTGACTAACATATTGACCGTTTGTTAGCATTATCTAAATACAATGTGCGTACATCTGCTGTTTCCATTGCCATCACATCATCGTTGCAGACATCATGGCTGTAACATGAATTTGATGAACAAAAGTAACTCTAAGCCTGCTTGCAACGTGTGGCACGTGACAGTGTGTGCAGTGGAACTGTAGAAGTAAGAGACACCAAACCAAGTGTTGTGTAGGAGATGCAGTTGAGTGTTGTGCACGGTTACAGAGCCAAATACCGGACAAGTGAAATCGGAAGGAAACGCAATCCAACACTGAGGGAGATCTCGGCTTGTCACGTCATTTAGCTGAAGGTTGTCACAGCGACTATCAAGATGACTCACTGAGGTGGTTTGGATTGTGGTCCGTCGACGTAGCATTCATCGTTCTTTTGCTGCTTGAGAGATAATCACGATCTCCTTATGCCTACTTGTTCGTAGATATTTTTGACTAGTTCGTTTGTGGATTTATACTCGTGATGACATCAACTACTAATATATTGTGAAGTATGACTATTTAAAAAAAATATGCGTTTTAGTGCTTGACACCCAATTGAACCAAGTAAACCCAGGAGCCAATTACTAAACAACCTGTGTAAAAGCGGCGATTTAGCTACAAAATGCCTCCCATTTCCCGTCTATTATGCTCCATGTGTTTCACAAGATTAATTTTCCTTGGTTTGGATAATATGTATGATGAGAATACTCCTATTGATTAGTGTGTCATTGCTATATAATCTAGTGCTGGCACAAGCAGATTGCGTCGTACTCATGTGATTGGATAATCGTTGAACAAAAAGGAAGCACAATGGATACAGATGTTATGCCAAAATTGAATTCAAAATTATTTCACGTGACAAGATTAAATCAAACACCAAAATAGACTAATTTCAATTTGAGTTAGATGGTAAGTTCAAGTCATCAAAAATTTTTAACATAACTTGACAAGCATGCCTTCATGAGATACATCTACACAAAATGGGGGCTCCTTGACACTATTGGACATCAGGCATCTCGGAATCATGCAAGACGCTATGTGATTTGCTCAAGGATGTAACAGCAAGTGGTTAAAAGTAGGACTAGCTGTTTACGGTTTCAGATACGACCTCATCGTGTGCCACATTTCCAAATCATCCTCTGCCACTAGTGATCGTGGCACAATCACTGCTATGCAAGTCACCCTACAATTTATGATCCTGCATACACCATAGTTCAGAATTGCTTTCAGCAACATGCTTAACCAGCAAAAAACCATTTCAATTAAATGAGAACTTCGAACTCGCCATTCACACGCCCTCTCAAAATGGTATTTTCATTGTCGGACCTAAACGTGTTAAGGATCTCAGGTGTGAGTAACTGAATTTCGAATCAAATAACTTTTGCTTTATTATATAGACTTAGAATCAATTTCTCTTTTGATGAAGTGGGTATTTTGCCGGGCGATTCACAGCGAATTTGGATTTTCCATTTTCAACACAGTGGACGATTAAAGCAGACCTCTTGAGTGTCTGCAAATGTTGAAAGTCCTGATTTGAGATACTGGCCTTGCCTTTGTTCAAGTAACACACGAAACCGTAAATTCGACAGTCCGAGCTGGATGAGTTTTACGAGGATTGAAGGAGTGCGTTCAAGTGGTGCCTAACTTACTCGAGAGACAAATCTCCCGCCTAATCAAGTGAGAATCACCCCTCAATCATCAACACACATTGCGTTTTACTCCTCCAATTTGCCTGCCTGCTAACTACGCTTGCAGCACTTTGCGCTGAAATTCATCCACCAACCCACCTCAGAGCATGAATCGCGTTAGTGGTTGTGGTAAATTTATTTACGTGTTCGAAACTGAGGACCAATTCAATTATCCACATTACCACGCTTAAATAGAGGTGCGGATGAAAGCATGCACAAAAGTTCATCGTTGAGATCCAAGTCGTAAATGAGGTCAGGATAATAGGTTCAAATGGGATATAATTAATAAACCTGCTCACCATGACCCGACCCACTAGCACAAGGTGTTTCCTATGGGAGGCATTTAGCGTAATCAACAGCAACGTATGCGCGTGTGTCAATTTTCCAGTCTAACAAATGCAGTAGATTGAACCATGGATTATAGAGTATCATGAAATGCAACGATCCCAAACGAGCCCATCTGTCTTGTGAAAGAGCAAATCGTACAGAAATTTTTATCATTTTCCTTCCAGGCAAAGGCAATAGCTTTTCTGTCAAGGTAAAGCAGGTAGTCAGTCAACTGGGGAATCGACTTTAAGTCATCCTATAGTAATGCCTGTTGAACCACTTTAGTAGTCACGATTAAGTGTCCACTATACTTTCTGTATCACACAAGTTGAGGAAAGTAACAAACTTATGGGGATCATTTCGATGTTTTCTGGCAGTCAATTTGAAGATGGGATGATTGGGGGGTCAAAAAACTAATTTGCCGGGAAAATAATTGTTTGATATAGAAATCAGATTTTTTCGGCTGGCGATAGGTCGGGACCTAGCCTCCAATAAATCAATCCAATTTATCTCCCAAAGGCAAAAGTTACTCCCTAAAGTTGAACCGATTCTCCCTATTTCACTAAACCAAATGCCTAACAAAACTGTCTTCAATCCAGCCACAACAATGTTATTTTAGTAACAACATTCTGTTCATAGCGAAAAGCGGCAAGAATCAAGAATGAAATCCTGCACCGGATTTGATTTGTTCTGCCAATAACCACGGTCACAAGGAAGTTTAGACTGAATCGACGTCCCCGATATTCACCTGTCTGTAGTTTACAAAACCACAATTTTTTGTATTTTTTGTGATGTAAATAAGACGCCTTACTGGTGCCTTTAACAACAACTTTATAGGCTGTGACAATGAAATTCTCGTGTTCCTGGACCAGTTGTAACAAAACCAACACTTATCACACAAAATCAAGGGCTTCACAGTATCACAGTATTTCATTTGCCCTCATTCCTCAACGAATAATCGAAAACCAGTTAGATTTGACTGATGCCAATCCCAAAGAAATCGCCATTCTGACATAGTCACACAAACTGCGCATCTGAGTAGCATGAATTCACAGGAAGATCTCACACAAATTTGACTAGGAAATATTCAATGGGTTGCAAGCTGTGGCAACGAACCACTCACAGAATATGCTCTAGAATTTACTTGTTTGCGGTTAATGAAATGTGATGCATTATTTCGACTACCAACACAGCTATTCTTCCTTTGAATTGCAGATGTGAATCATCACATAATCCTGTCTCACTTGACTTTCAACTCGTACGCTGCCGATTTGTCTGATGGGGTCGTCATGATCACTTGAGATCTGGCGGTGCTCTGTGCTTTTGTGAGAGCATCATCTGGCGCTGCATCTGACATCCTTATTCTTACAAGCAATGACTAGTTTTCACTTATATAGTACACATCAAAACAGGAATTGGCACTGAAGTCAAGGTAGTCAGTCAAAATCGCATTGACTTTGTACTATGCAACTGCTCGCTGCGTTAGCCAGGATGCTTCACCAACAACAATGCATGCGTTTTGCCTTAAAGGACTTGCTGTGAATCGTGTTTATCTACACCCCTTAATCCGGCAGCTCCACCTCCGACATAGGGTTCCCCTTTTCACAGCATGTCGCCACCCGCGCAGATCCTCAACTCTCGCTTCATTCACACGGATATATATATATATATTGGATTTTCCTCAAACCTATGTCTCGATCTTAGCGCATGTATGACTCACACGTCCGAGTTATAAATACCCATTCGCAAACGACACACACGATGCATCGAAGTAAACTGCTGTATCCACGTCCTCTCCGGTCTTTTTCTTCGTCGCGGGTATCAGGGAAACGTAATCCGACCAGGGTTAATTTCGTGGCGGCGGCGTGGTTCAAGAGCACATGCTGGGGACCACAACAGACTTATCCAATCGCGGTGGACTTGACAAGTCATCTGGCAATGTATCTGATCGCATAATTCTAACATTTACTGGTTCTGGAACAGTCACCTATAGAGGTTCTGCTAAAGTAGGAATGCAAAAACGTATATTTTTAGTTTCAAATCGTGGCAACAGCATCGCATGCGAGTGACCCGGTGGGCCAGTTCATGATCTCATGGTTTGCTGTGAAACTCTTGTATTACTTGCTGACCATCTGACAAAACAGCCGACTAGGAAGAATTTAAGGTCTTCATTTTTAAACAAGAAATGGAATCTTGCGTAAATAGGGATCGTAAGACGTTGAACAGTAGTCGATATTGGATAATTAAGGGGCAACTGCTTGCATTAGTGTGTGATTGAGCTGAAGTACTTCAAACAACTTTATGTGGAAGAACAAGTCAATGAAATTACATGTAAATGATTAGCCACGGTAATTTCTTATTGATGTCAGTTATGGAAAGTTCTAGTGATTCACCGATGACTGCTACACTTTATGCAACCAATGATGATGCATTTCAGCAAGTTTGATGCATCCGTAAAGTAGTCGTCTGAATACTAAACTCCCGTTTTTATATGGCGGTTTTGATTATCCATCACCTTAGTTCTTTAATTACAAAATTGGTGTCCTGTGTTGTCGAAAGCCTACATGTCTGCGTAACCGTAACAATTAAAGTGCATACAACTTTAGTTGAATATTTTAAAGGTAATAAGTGCACTGTATAGTGACGAATCGGTGCATAAACTGTCTGTTAACGCACGAAAGAAAAATCAGACGAGGAGACATATAATTTAGCACGCGTAACCAGTTGACACATGTTTTTTGTGTAATAGCATACAAAATAATCTGAGGTAAGCAAAATAATAGTATAAGTGTAGATGTCCAGGGCAGTTGGAGGAGATAAAGCCTATACCACGGATTCACTGTAGCGGCAGTAGTGGTCGGTCGAAGCAGAGTCTTTGCGGATCAACGAACTCGTGGAATTGTGGACGTTTGAGTTTGACCTTGCCTTCATTCAGCTGATACACGAAACCGCAAAGGCGACAATCCAACCTAGTTTCTTTCTACAAGATCACAGTGAGCATCTGGATACGAATCTTCCTTACCGTTCGCCCACTTAGCTGATTGTGAGAATATCCGCACCAATGATTCTGTTTTGCGATATTGGACTCAAGTTATTCTATGTGCACTGCTTACCAAATATCATTGTTGCCATTAATGATATCAGGAAAATAGGGCGACGAATTGGATTACTCAGTTGCTATGTAAGTTGCTACCATGTTAATGGACAGGTGAATCACTTTGAATGATTTCTATCCACGTTAACATTTAAGTACGTATTTCAGGCAGCATTTCAGCCATCAAATTGCCACTGAATACTGCAAGAATACCTGTTAAATCAGCATGCATTAGCATTCACTCACATGCATTAGGCACTTTAGTGGTAACGAATATAACTTAGCATTGTTGAATACAATAAAATACTGTGAAATGCCCATTTTTCTGCTGTTGCAAGTCCAGAGACGGTGATGTAAAAATTATCTGAACTAATGACTGTCACCGTGTTGTCGTCATCTGTTAATAGCAAATGCATTAGTTGTTTAAAGGCAACTTACAAAGATTTTGCCATGTTCCTTCCAGGCAAAGTACTCGGCATAGGCGGTATCATTTTTGTCCAGGTAGAGCAGATAGTTTGTCAAATTGCGAATGGACTTGAAGTCATCCACGTTGATGTAGGAGTGAGGTGGAAGAGCATCATCGTAGTCTTCCTTGTAGGCTCCGAGGACAATGGGAACCATGTTGAAACTGACAAAATTAACCACTTTTAGTGGTTTGAATCATAGATTTTAAGTCAATCCAAATATTTGCATTGGGCTCCTACAAAGGTGTTATGCAACCCGATTGATGTTATGTCTACCACCACTCAGACAAACCAACAGTCACCATCCCCTCACCTTTACTAATTTCGGAATGTATTATCTCCCTGGTACGGGATAAATA